CAATTAAGGCGTGTCGCATAGGGGGTTAGGTTCATATTCCTCTATGGATATTCAAAAAAATGTAAACTAATTTTATTTTATCTAATACCCATAATCGATACCACTATAGTAAAGGGTATCACATATAACCGACTCCACTCGAAACCAAAAATTATATGTGACGCCTTCGACTATGGTTGTATCATTTGAGTTTTTAAAGACCACCCTAATGCACATACGAGTATTAACATATATATCTAGACTTATATACAAACAATGGCAGGCGCTAACACCACATGCTACTAAATTTAAATGAAAAGTTTTCATTGCAAAAAGCTGCAGATATATTTATGCTATTGCCTGGTATCAGTTTATTTGTGCGTGTGCGCATGCTACTCTCGGTTTTGGCGCGACAAAAAAAAACGGTTCATATACTGTGGAAGGCAGCAATGGCTACGACACTGTGGTGTGGCTATGCGGTATGGTAACCACAACACGAATGTATGTATGCGCATGACTGGTGGGTGGAATGACAAATTCAACGCCTAGCAATAAAGTCAAGTTAAAAAGCTGGGTCAGTTTTTCGCTTGCAAACATGTGTGTGTGTGCATGCCTGATATCAGCGCCTGCAGCTAAACACAGCTCTCGCTAAAGGCGCCTGTTCGGCAAAAACACAGGGAAAATGCACAAATATTCGTTGAGTTTGCTGCTTTTTCTCGTTTTTTTTTTCTTCTTCACTTGATTTTGTCAAAGTCAATGGAAATATTGCAACTATCCTGAAATTCCGGTATTTGGGGGCGTTTGTATGCACCTGCGAGCTCACTTTTTGCATAACTGATCGCTTGGCTACGCTGCTGCACGAACTTCATTTTTCACATTCCACACTCCACTTCGCTTACTTTTCTCTTTGCGGTTTTGCATCCAACTACTCGCTAACGAACTCACGTTGTTGCTCATTTGTAAGCCATTCTTGCTCTAAGCAATTAAAGTTACTCATACGCAATGTTTACCGAATGAAATTCCGATATACATACAAATAATAACACGATGGGCTTGTAAAATGTTTAAGACTAAAGTTTTTAACTATCCAATTTGCTTTTTGCGTACATCTTTTATGGAATGACTACCGAGCCAATTCACTCAGTATTTTTAACATACCTACTTGGGGATACCGTTGCATTTAAAACAAAAGGCCAATTCGAAACGTAAAAAGAAAACATCAAATCAAATAAAAGTCTGACCAATGCACATAAGCCAAAAACTTGTTAGATAAGTTATTGTGAGTGATTTATTTTTCATAACAAGAAATAAATGACAATTTATGACACCGCAATAAATGGGCCGGTTATTTTCGGTCTCTGATTGAGAGAAATATTTGTCCGGTGATTTACCCCGACTACTATTCTGAGCGAAGAGCGGACCAGCCGAGTGAGAGCTATGGATCGCTTTACGTCAATCTTGGTAGCTCATTGGCTAAGCATCTGCCAGGAATGTTCCTGTGTCCAACGACCCATACAACAATCAAGAAGTCTTTTGGTGCCAGTAGGTTGACAGTCTTTCTTCATTCTGTGGCTACTTTGGACGTTGTTCCGCTAAAATTAAAATATTTGATAGCGCCTGGCTGTCAGATTAAAAAGCGATAGGCCATCCTGCAGGGGCGAAGGTTATGAGTCTCCCAGCTGCCTCCATTATGGCGTTTATCTCTGCTTGAAAAACGCTACAATGGTAAGCTAAAAACAAGATTTAGCCGGAATTCGCCAGAGCAAATCCCTCTATCCACTCTTTCGTTAAGCTTTTAACCATCTTTATATATACATATGTAGCTGTCGATCCTGCGTTTAAATCTGTGGCCCCTTCCTCTCTGGGATTCTTATGGATAATTTGGAGTAGAGGGGTGGTATAATCTAGGTATGTATACTTCATCTGTGTGAACTTTTCTTATGCATTCTTCTACCAAACAGGCGCAGCGCATGTTAGGAAAGATTCGAAAATGGCCCGGTTAGCTTCTAGCAGATTCAAGTGGAGGCTTTGGCCTTTTTGTAGCTTTGTCGGAGTCCAGATTATATGAAAGTTAATCATCAAATAAAATTTCCAGATAACTGCTTGAATTTTTTTTTTTTTTATTTTACAGAGAAAATATCTAAGATAATATTCTTAGTGTTTACGTTTAACCCGTTTTGCCTGTGCCATTTGGCGATAATATTTCGCGAATACTATACAAAGTTAAATATTGTGTCTTAAAACCAAATAAGGTATAGTATGTAGTTCGTTTGCTGAACTGTAATTTCGCGGGAAACACCCATCGTTGATAAATATCTAATCATTTCCTGCCCAGAATGAAGTCATAAAATAGTTCCGCAGATAGGAAAATGCATTTAGATTTAAGTAGGGAAGATTTCTTCTTCTCCAAGTGCTTTGAAAAGCATCGATTCAGATATGTTTATCCTTATCAATGATGACTCCCCAGACCTCGGAGCTGGGACGATCTATTTTAGTCTGCCTGTGGATTGTTGAGTTCGTGCTCAGTGGTAAGCAACCAGTTATAAGCAACTGCGGCTGGAAGTTGTGATATTCCTTTTAGTTGGTCATAAAGGGCCCATCAGTTATTTCAGAAACCCTTTTTCCTTGGTGAAAGACTTTTGTTTTCTTCTCAAAAGTAAGTCAATGAGTTTCTTTTAACACTTAGATCTAATTGAATATTGTTTTGCCCATTCCTCCACCAAGGACTCCGTCTGCAGTTAAGCTTAGTGATATCTGAATCCGATTCTATGTAGGAGTTCACAATAGCCGAAGTCAGACCTGGGGGGAGATTATGTAACCAATTAAACAGAAGTTCTATTCCAAAACGAATCTGAATATAGACTGATAGTGAAATTGCTTCATATACCTTGTTACAAAAATCATAATACCGAGTTATGTTATTTTTACACTTACTTATATAACCAGTCTCTTAAATTTTTAATTTCCGCTCTTACGTAGAAGTATGCGTATACACACACATACGTGTTTACATACATATGTGTAAATGAGTAAAATGTGTATTCTATTTGAAAAACAAAACCTGCCCTTCTTCAGCAAAAAATTCAACTTTAATTCCTTTTCGATGCCACAGGAAAATACCACAAAAATAGCAAAATAACAAGAAAAACTGCAAGCATACAGCTATAAATAATTTTTCTGTATCTGCAACTAGCAACACATATAGCTGCGTACGTATGTTGAATGAAAAACTTAACCCTTCATCGAAATGAAAAAGTGCAATTAATAACTGATATATTTAACATGAAAGCCATATATGTATATCGTCGGCTAATGATTCGAAAACCTCAATCTCATTAAACGGCTGAGGAACATTCTATTTTAGAATTGCATTGAAGCACGCCTATCCAACGCCTATCCCAATATAAATTCAATATATGTATCAGCAGCTTAAATAGGACGTTCTTGAACCAAATTTTTAGATAGGGCATTTTTCAACCGTTTGCTGAGATAGCGCGTTTTTGAATCGGCAGCTGAGACAGGGCGATCTTTCTCTCAAAATAGCATACATAGATATGAAAATTCTTATAGGTCTTAGGGACACTCGGCAGGTTCTAGCTTACTTAGAAAATCCAATAGTTTTTTTTAAACCAATCCATCGAAGAGTGGGTGCTTAGCATTTCCAAAAAAAATATGGCATACGTCATTTGACTTCCTGATACAGTAATGGAATTGTTCTTTGGGAGATTGATAAACTTATTATAGCTTTTCTTTTTAGTTATTTCTTCTAAAAACCTTTTCCTTGGAGCTTTTCTACTCGTTTCCTCTTGACTCCAAAGCAGCGTTGGGAGGAGAGAGCTTTTACTCTGCTCGCGCCTATACACAATGTATAGCAAACTTAAAAGAGCTTTGCCCGCGCGCAAGGCAATGCCCATCAGTGCTCCAAAGTTCTCCTTTTTCTCTGATAGTGTGTGGTCCTATTGCATAGAAAGGATCTTAACCAGTTGCTGCCTTGCTAACAAGTCTGTCTACTTCTTCATTAGCTTCAATAACTACGTGGCCCGGAACCCAAAGAGGGAAAACACCGTTCTTTGCTGGAAAGCCTTTAATCTCCCCACGATCTCCAGAACGAATTGCCAAGTGTGGACGGAATATCGCTTCATATCGGAATGTTTTCCCGACGGAGGTCACCCATACCGACCTTTAGGACCTTGCATAGCCATACTCAGGTATCGCAATTCCAAAAGTTTAAGAAATTGTATCTTACAGCTTTATGCTTACCATTATAGGGTTAAATGTCAGTGACAGAAAGCCTTCGTAAAAAACATACATATGTATATCCATTAGGGTGGTCCAAACAAAGTAGAGTCGGATTCTTCTATACAAAAAAAATATTTAGACGTCGCTCAAAGATAGGAAAATTTCATTTCTCTTCAGGTGACTTCCAATAATAATACCAATTTTTTTAATGAACCACTTCTATTATCAACTATTATTATGGCACCCCTAAAACACTCAAAAAATGCGATTGGGGATTCATACAAAATCGCTGGTACAAAAAACTTGTATAATAAACAACTGAGTATTGTTATTATAAGTCTCCTGAAGAGAAACAATGTTATTCGTACGTAAAATATTGATGTTCAAAAATTTTATAACATTTTACCAAAATTGTTGTTTGCGATATAAAATACATAGAAAGCTTTGGGGTCTTTAAGCGAACTCTAAATATTTTTTTGATTTCTAATTAAAAAACAGGGGTATAATTTTTTTCGGCATAGAAGAATCCTATGGGGTGAGAGCATTATATAATTCAACTTTGCGTTTTCACATGCATTTTTGGACCACCCTTATATACATATGTACATGAGAGCAATATGTGTTCGTATCAAATGCAGATAAATTCATTGATATGATGCAAAAGCTCTGCCGCGCACACACAGCTACCTTCACACATACACATACATATATATACATACATGCAATCACACAAACAAAAAGAAGGAGCATAGTCAAATTTAATTGTCTGTATGTATACTCACATCGACGTGTATGCCGGGAAATGGAAAAACTTTCGTATTCGGAAATTCACCAGGTGTATAGCGATAGAACTCCAATTGGCCGCGATAAAATTTGGCCGAGTAGAGGGGCGTCCCCTCCAAATCGTACAGGCAACGCACGATGGCATGTTGGCCGCGTCTGACCGCCGGTGGTTCGATGATTAAATTGACATTTCGCAGTGCGCCCTCCACAATTGCTGTCGTTGTTGTGGTTTGTGTGGTGCATGTTTTTGTTGTTGTTGTTGTGGTTTTGGTTTTTATTTCCATAGTAGATAATACCGAGAAAGAGACAAACAAAATTGAAAAATGAAGATTAATAGGAGTATTAAAGTTGAAAAAATGCCATGCATCACAACGAAAAAAGAAGCGAATATATATAATAGCGAAGGGATTTTGCATATGAATTCTTTTTTATTTTAGTTTAAAACTTCACCTGCGTGAATGTTAAAATTTTTCAGTTTTTCGTAATTTCAAATATACATATCGCTCGCTTGCCAGAAGAATGTCGTAAAACAAAAAAAAATATATAAATGTTTGAGCTAGAAATACAGAATTCGCCATCTTCGGGTAAGGATGAATTTTCACAATATTAGGTCTATAGCAAGAAAATAATCACTATTTGATTCAAGCAATATCAAAATTTTAGTTCTATGCAAGTTTTGCCTACCGAATTAAATTTTACAATATCTGTTAAATTTTTACTATATTTTTTTTTTAGTTGTTATTGGTTTTTGTTCAGGCTGGCCAAAAAAATTACACAGCCTTTAATTTGCATTTTTTGAGTTATGATGTTTTTCCTTGCAAACCGACTATTACATTTAATCTAGCGTGACTCATATACACATATTTTTTATTGAACTAATTCATTTATTTTACATTTGCGTTCCCAAATGTTTTTTTGCAATCAATGTTAACCGCTGATACTTACATATGTATGTATGAAATTCACGCCAATTCATAAGTTGCGTTTCTTTTTTGTCAGATTTATGGGTGATTAATAACGCAATTGATTTGTTTACACGCAGCTTAAAGAGTTAACATTTTAGTAAACCATTTTCTATATGTTGGACATAATATTGCTAAAAAAAAAAATGGCATTGTTTATGCGTAATTGACAGACATAAACTCAATTTGAAGGGATTACAATATTTCGAGCACGATGATCAGCATTTTTTCTACTTTGGGTTAAATATTATTGTAGCAAAATATGCCAGGTTTAAGATAACACGTTGTATATTTTATCCTATTTTTACAAGTATTACAATAGTTATCTTTGATTTGCGATAAACTCCCAAACTATTGAACCTACTTTTTGTAATTGTTTTCGGTTTAAAATAACGCATATATCGTCGTTTATAGTACAAAACCGCGTAACTGATATTTGTGCCCGAAGCTATATTTACTCACCGGAAGCTATTGGCATCAAGCCCTTATCCATTCATACTGAAATATCGATACTTAGATTATTAGAAAATTTTGCCAAACTCACATACGTGGTTTGGCATTTCGTTGATACGCGGTTTTGTACTTTAAACGACGATATGCATACTAACCCGGTAACACTCATGTTCGACATTTGGTATGGGCAAGCGCTGCCTGCGGAAATTTCGGTTTAACCGTATGATTTCAAATGTAATGTAAAAAAGAAATTAAATTATTTAACAGAAAGTAATAAATTTTAATTTTTTTTTATCGGCCTTTAAATTGTAAACTGTTGTAATTTTTATTTGATATGCTTGGGGCCCAGATAATACATATGTATACCACAGAGTTTAGTTGGTTAATCTTTGATGTCGATATTTCGACCTCAATCTGAGGTCATCTCCGGAACTCTTAATTGTGCCCTACCAACTGAACTAACTAAAACCTTTGTTGTATGTATTTTCTGGGCCTCGAGCTTATCAAATAAAAATTACAACAACTAATAAATTTTACTTAAAAAAATGTCTTATTATCCAGACGTTTCAGAGCATGTTCAATGTGCCGAACTTCATTTTGTTGTGCCATTTCAGTAGGTAGTCTTTATAGGATGTAAATTTTTTTAATTATTTTATTATTGTTGTAATTCATATATGTTCATTTCAATTGAATGGAACTTTTGCACATTGCTTTCGTAATACAGATTTCTAAACATCTTACTTTTGACATCCACATGGTAATACATATTTCATTGAATTGAATTTAAACTTTAAAAAGGTGGCAATCCCTTTTCAAAATAAAGTTACTTCAACACATTTAATTTGACATCCGTATTGTTAGATTTTTAGGCGGCCGCTGTGGTGTAGTGGTAAGCAGTGCGCGCTTACACTCCGCAGGGCCTGGGTTCAAGCCCTGGTCAAAGCAACATTGCAAAAAATCTAGAAAAAGAGTATTTTCTTAACAGCGGTCGCCCCTCAGCAGGCAATGGCAAATCTCCGAGTGTATGTCTGCCATGAGAAACAGCTTCTCATAAAAATACAATCGCCGTTCGGGTTGGCGTAAAACAGTGGGAGAAACATTGTTTTTTTGCATCAAAGCGCACTCAGCGGTCGTTTTTGGTAAAACTGAACTGCAAAAAAGCTTAAAATCGCCTACCTAGGGAAACTGGCAATTTTTTTTCTATTTATAGTCCAGACTTTCAGAAAACCTTGGTTTCATCAATTCCCCCCAGACAAAAAGCTGAAAATGTCGTACAGTGTAAATATTTAAGCACCATTTTATTGTACCACGGTTGAAAAATAAAACTCTCGACTATTTGGAACAGTAAATTTAAGTTTTGCACACTGTGCTCTGATCCAAAAATCAGGGTTTTCAACATTTGTTAACAAAAAATAAACTCATATGAGCTGGACCAGAAAGATTTCCAAAACCAAACAAAAAGATGTCTCCTTCTTGGGAAATAAACTACCTTTTTCCAGAAAACTGCCATATTTTATTAAAATGATATTTAAAGTCTTTTAATGCATTTTTTTCATCTAGTTTTACACTAAAACATTTTGTCGATTTAGACCGAGATAAAGAAGCCTCTCTAATTTGCGAAGTTGCTCCTATCATTTATACCCATCGCAGACAGATCCTTCAGCACTTAGTCCTTCAATTGAGTTTATGGGCTCCCTTGCATTCGGAGTGAGATTTTATGGATCTTTTTAATGTATGTACTTTTGTATGCAAATATCGGCTGCATTGAAATTATGAATATCATCTACTCACCCTGTCGCAAGAATATATCAACACCAACAAATATTAATTCTTTTTTAAGCTAGGCATCTTAAATGCCCAAAGTTTGGTGAACATTTTTACAAAAAAAAAAAAAAAAGAATGAAATTAAATTAAATTACTTAAAAAGTTTTTATGCCAGACATTGCGCAAACGAGTAGATAAGTAGTAATGTCATGGCCATCGTCGAGTGAACGGCTCCAAAGCAGGCGTACTCGAGAGACTGAAAGCACATGCACACATGCATATATTAGCATGTATGCATATATTAGTATGTACTGGTGTGCGATAAAAATTCTCCAAGTAGATTGCAAAATATTTATTTGCCGGCGTTTTTTGCTTAAATAAAAATGGAGCACTTCTGCAAAGTAATAAAAGCAAATAAAAATGCAATACAAAGAGAAAAAAACCAAATGTAGGCAGAGCAATAAAAGATATTCAAATGCGAAATTTCAAATAGGCAAACTTGCAACTGAATTTATTTCACTGTATGTATGTATATGTTTGCACAAATAACTGAAATGCATGATTATATGGGCAAGGCTGTAACTCAAAACGTTTTGGGATTTGAATATCAAAGGCAGCAGAGGCCAAGGCTGCTCACATGAATGGTGGATGGTGGGTGGTCGCCTGCGAGGAACGCAAGCTAGGTGAAGGAAGTCGAGTTGCGAGCGCAATGAGAATATGAATTTCAGTAACTGATTTGCATTTGCGTATGCACATACATACGTATGGATGTATGTAAGTATGCATGTTCGTCCATAAGACTCGCGCGTACAAGCGCACGCACACATATTAACAAGCATATTGCATTAGCAGTCATAAAATATGCATATCTGTATTTAAGCAGGATTATGTCTATGCGTTACACACGATCACACACTCAAGGAAAAAGGATCAGTTCAGCGCCTTCTTCTTGACCTGCTAAACTTAAACGTAGAATACGTGATATTATTAAGATGACATTCAAGCTACAAACATAACATGAAATATTCACTTTGATTGTATTGAACTAAAATTTAATAAATCAATATGAATTGCAAAATATTAGTAACTAGTGTTCGCCCAGCGGTTGAAATTCAACCACTAAATTAAGAGGAGTTGAGGCGACATAACATAACATAGATAAACTAACATAACATAACATATCCACATCAGTACAGTATCAGTATCAGAGCCGTTGGCGATTTCCTCAAAGCATTGCCAAATATCCTGGTCTCGCGCTTCAGTAGAAGCTTTCAGGAGATTTTTCATATGATTCAGCAGGTTTCTCCAAGCTACCTGATTTATATTTTCGAATTATTTAGTTCACCACCTACCCAGTTTTTAGATTTATTGATGCCAGAAAATAAAACGAGTTTTGAAACAGTGTGTCACAAAATATTGCAACAATGAAGCCTTACGGGGCGATTCGGGAAGCGAAACGATATGTAAACATGAGCCATATTAGTGCGATTTTCATCACATAAAAAAAATAAAAAAAATAAAACACGCGTTTTTTTTAAAGGTGTTCATTGCTGTTTATCTTGTCTTTGGCGAAAACATAAAAAAGGTAATAAAAATGCATTCAAAGCCTTGATTTGCTATTTTTTGGTTGATTCAAGATTTTTACAAATGTCTTGCATACAGCATGCAAACCCACTAAGCTACCATGTACATATGTATCTGAAAATATACATATGTACATATGTATTTACATAATGCTGGGCATACCAATTGGCTTCTGCAGCCAAGCAATGCCTGTGATGCATCTATCCTATCTATTCTACGTATTTATGCAGAAAGTACACAATACAAGTGAAACGTATGTACCTATTAAGTATACGTATGCAGTTTGTGTGCTCGATCGTGCTTACATGACAGTTCCATGCGCAATTACACCAATGAAAACAACAAAAACAAGCGTATAAATATTTGTCTTCCTTCTAATATCCACTCACATTTGCCTGCACGATTAATAGTAGTTGAAATATTGACTTGTATGTATGTATGTGCATAAATA